TTTAATAAAGCATTTTAAATAAATAATAAATCAATGACCCGCGGAAACCCTGTTTGACTTTGTTAGTCCTCAGGCGTTCGGTTCTTAAATCACAGCTGAGACAGGAACTATTTAGCAGCTCCAGAACCAGAACTGGTGGCAGTGATGAGAACAGAGATCAGGTACTGAACGAGCATCAACACCCGTTTAGAACAAGGACAAATTATTAATCTCTATTTCTAATTTGAGAACCTCAGGCCCACCTTCTCCGTCATCCTCCCCGGTGGTGATGAGCAGAGGAGGCAGCTCATCCTCGTTGTCTGGAAGCAGACTGGGAATCCTGCTCACCGAAGAACCGATCCCAGAAAGCAAGCCGTAATCCCAGGGCCCAGAAACCGGGGCTCGCTCCACCGGGGCGGCTCCGGGGGCCTCAGAGCCGGATGGTTCATCACCTCCAGGGTCAGATCCAGCTGAGCCGGGCTGCAATAAGAGGCAGCATCAGGGATGATCAACAGAGACTGAAAACCAAAACGCTAACCAAACGCAACACGACAGATTCAAAAACATTTGGATCAAACTAAACGGCTGCAGAGCAGAGAGATGCTGGATCATTTTTAAAACACAATCTATGTTCTGAAGATCTATGCATCTGTAGTGACGCCACCTTTCAATCAAACCTGGACCCTTTATAGTAGCCAACCAATCTGTGATCACTAATTGTGCAGAAGTGAAAGGTCTGTTCTCAGTCTGTCTGACATCATTATCAGGATTTAGTTTAAGCTGAGCGGACCCGCCACACTGCAAAAAAATTAAATCTACATAAGTCATTTTTTCTTAAAATAAGCAAAATTTTTTCTTGAATTGAGAAGGAAAGTGAGACAATTTGCCAATAGAACGAGACAATTTGCATTTAAAATAAGAAAACACAATTGCATTGTTTTATTTCGAGTGCATATTATCTATTTATCTTATTCTAAGAGTGAAAATACTCATCGCATTGGAAAAATATCTCATTTACCTACTCAAATTAAGGTTAAATACACTTACTTTAAGAAATTTTTACTTATTGGTAGATCATTTTTCCAGTGGAAACATGTGATTTAGACCCTCGTTAAAGAACGGAACGCAGTTTATTCTGTTTCTGAAACCAACCAGGAGTCTTAAAAGAACGTAAATGATGCCGTACTGCTGCCGTCACACCAAGTGCTTCAGGTGCGCCAGGAACAGCCAGTTTACATGCCAAGTCTGTAGTGGACACGCATCTAAGAAGTGTTAAGAAGTTCTGCGACGCATCTCTGCTATCCGCCGCATTGAGAAGCGCTTTACGGTTTGAAGAGTTGATGCGTATGAAGACGCCTGCGTTGGAAGTTAAGAACCCTTGCTGCTC